CCGAAGCTATGGGGCCAATCTCAACCAAATTTTGTATGCAAACACTATGAACTAGTGGGAATGGCCTAAGGCTATTAGGGGGAATTGAACTTAACCCAGTTTCTATTTTTTACAGTCTGTTAGTTAATCACTCTTAGCCTATTGAGTCAATCCCAAACAATCTTGACAGGTTGACCCTTCTGACATTATTGAATATTTTAAGGGGCTTCAGTTTCAAGGTCAAAGTATGAAAGTTGTTGAATTGCTTCTTAAACAACCACGCTTTTCTCATGGTCATCGAGATGTAGGATGTTCAAGAATGGGATCACCTCAAAATCTTTATTTGTTGGTAGATGCAAATGTGCATGAAGAAGCTTTGTTATAATTTTAAAATTTTGAGATAAAGTTTATATTCAAGTTATTACTTTGAAGTATATGATTGCTGTTAAACTTGTGTTGTTTTAATTAACTTATTAAGTTTAAACATTCCCTGTCAGTTGACAGAGTATTTCAGAGTATTATATATGGTATTAATGCTAGAGCTGGCACATGTACTACTTCTAGTTCTAAGTTGTTCAAGTTATACTTTAGTACTTGACTTATTCTTGTGTGATTTTTTATAAATTTACTTAATGAATATGAATATTAATGAGTTAACTATATTAAATTACTGATTAGGTGCATGTGGTATAAGAGAGTTTAAACTAATTGTACCTCAGATTGCGAGTTCATGATCTTGTTGCCTTTATGGTTCTATAATTATAAATTATACTGAGTATAATATTAGTAACATATGAGTAAGAAAAAACAACAACATTAAACAAAGAGATACCACCAATATTGCAATCTACATTAATTAATTCAACTACTATTACTTGTGTCTACTATTTATTTTAGTATTTGGCACACAAAGGAGTGATTTCGCATATTTTGTTAATTTGTATACTCGAGTTTTGTAACAAGAAAAAACATAAAATTACTCAATATCTTGTATTATGTGGAATTTGCCAATAGTGAAGGGTGTTAAAGCAAGTTGGTAATTTGAGTTTTAAGTTGTATTTTGGTAAGGCTGATTCATTTCTGATATTGAATGTGAAGGGTATTAACCCACTAACAATTAGTAACATTCAGTATGACAAGTAGATTGTAAAAATAAAACCACTGCCAAAAAATGAAGTAGTATGTTTGTGTATTCTTTCCTTTAACTTGTAGAATCCCATTATCAGAATTATTAATACTTCATTCTGAACTGTTACTTATTATTGTATTCTTTTATAGAATGATTGGAAAGAAACCAGAGGAATTAAACTTAATCCAAATTATTTTTATTACTCGTGGCACTAAGGGAGACACCTTGAGGGAATTTTAGTTAAATTGACTAAATTAACTTTATAGTTAAAGTCCATAAGGATATTTTGAGAAAATGTGTACTATTAACATGAATTGATGTGTTGAAAGAAGAATTATAAATTGTAAAACACTATAACATGTTTTGAAGAATTCAGGACTTGCGAGGAGTGTGGCTATGGTAATTACAGGTTTCTCCCATTTAGTAACCTAAAAATAAGTACACCATATGATCAGAAAAACTGTTAATTAATATGTTAGTTAAATGCTCTAGTTTAGGTTTCAATAAAAGAGAATGCTTGTAAAAAAAATTTGGTTCAGATGGTATCTGAAGGCATTATTGTGAAAATGTGACCTTCAGTGGTAAGAATATACTGTTATGTTTTGTACAAATACCATACATGTGTTAACAAACTTTAGTTCAAGGCCTAATTGTTCTTTGAAAACCTTGGATTTGAGATTTTTGTACCGACATGCATTTATTGAATAATTAATGTACATATATTTTCCTTGAACTTCTAACAATGATGCTGATTACACAGTGGCTTGAATCCATTCTGAGAAATTAAATGGCACTCAGCCCTCCTGTAATATAGATAGCTTAAAGTGCCTACACCTTTTATGCACGAGGTCTGCCACCCCATTTTAATGAATGATATCGTGACAATCTTTTTCTGTTCCATATACAACTAGCTCGTTGAAAGCAGTCTTGACTATCTCAATAATGACACATTGAATAATCTCAGGAACTGTTTAGTAACATATAAAGACAAATTAGGCAAGACGGATTAAAAACACTGGACAAGTAACATCCACATGCTGAGTGGCAAATTCAGTCGTGCACTGGTTGATAAAAACCTATGAGGTAATGTCTGATAATAACAAAGAACTATTAACTCAGAACTTCTCTCTCTTAACTTGGCAAGTAAGTATTTATGTACTGTAGCTAATATTACCTCTATGTTACATGTTGACAATGTGTAAGTAGGAACTTGTAAATTATTAGTGATAGAAGTTGTGTGTAAAATGTAGAGTTTGTAGGTTGGAGGAGAAGTTGGAGGCTATTCTAATTATAGTAGAGGCAATAGATAGAGAGAAATGTAGACTGGGAAATGGTAGCAGGATTTCAAGAGAAGCATAGGCTATTACATGTAAGGGATACATCAGATAATAATGACTTTTAGGAAGTTAGAGTATTATTAGAACTAAAGTAGTGGATTTAATTGTGATAAGCCTATTCTATTGAGCAACAAATTTCAGCCCTTGGCCATTGGAAAGAAGGAAAAAAAAACAGGGACAGAGAATGAAGTGGATAATAAATTTAAGGAGGTTATAGTTATAGGTGATTCTTTGATAAGGCATGTGGGTAGGATAGTCTGTGGGATAAATAGTGAGTAAAGAATTAGATTATGCTACCCAGGGGAACAGGTGGAGGATATAACTGATAGAGCAGGAGATGTAATAAAGGGGGCTAGCAGAGATACGGTTTTTGTTGTGCATGTAGGGGCTAATGATGTAGGGAAAAGCAGGTCAGAGGAACTATTTTGTGCAAGGGTTTGATAAAGGCATTTAAAGAAAAAACCATAACTTAATTTTATCAGGGATACTGCCCAGAATTAACTGTGGAGATGAAGTTACAAGTAGGTTACTAGGGCTAAATGCTAGGTTTAAGTTAGTATGTAAGGATGAGCAGATTGGCTGGTTGGACTTGTGGGATCAATTCAATAGAAGAAGGGAGATTGTTGGAATGGATGGTTTACATTTAAATAGAATAGGGGCTGGCTTGTTTGCTAGGGCTATTAACTGAGTTGTAATGGAATTTTTAAACTAGGACTAGACCATGGTGAGAGTCAGGAAAAACAATAAGAGGCAGAGAAAAGTTTAGCATAGGAAATGAGTATAGAAGTAGTTATAAGAGTAGGCTTAATTGTTACTTTTGTAATACTAGAAGTATAAGAAATAAAATTGATGACTTTAGAGCACTTGTGGGAATGGAGGATTTTAATATAATGGGAATAACTGAAACGTGGTTAAATGTAGATGATTTTGATGATAGAAATTTCTTTGAAATTAAGGGTTACAAGCTATTTAATAGGGGTAGAGTACGAAACAGGGGGAGTGGGTTTATATGTAAAATGAGAGTTACATCCTGTTGCAATTGAGGTTATCAAAGATAATAGCAAAGAGATTGAATCCATTTGGGTCTCTATTAGTGGACATAAAGGAAACAGGCTTTTAGTGGGAATTTGTTACAGACCCCAGATGATACTGGTGAAATTAGTGAGAAACTGTACAAAGATATTAAGATTTTAGCTGTTAATGAGGTCATAATTATGGGTGATTTTAATTTCAGGCACATAAATTGGGAAATGCTAAAGTTAAACCATGAGGGAAAAAGGTTCAAGATAGCTTTCTTCACTAGTTAGTCAAGGAACAAACTAGAAACAATGCTATCTTAGATTTATTATTAACTTCAAATATAGAATGATTGAGAGGGCGGAAATTGGAGAACATCTGGGTGCAAATTATCATTGCTCTATTAGGATCGATGTTTGCTGCACATGGAGATCGAGAATAATGATATTTAGGTTACAAGTGTCAAAAAAGCTAATTTTGAAGGGATGTGATAAGAATTATCTGTTGTTAATTTCAAAGATAAATCTTCAATATTCAAGGTAAATATATTCCCTTTTGAAAGAAAAGGGTGGCTGCAAGTAAAAAACTTGGTTGGCTTACAAAGAGTACAAGAGAAGAAATTAAAGAAAAGCACCATAAATTTAAAAAATCTAAATTAACTGGTATGACAAAATGTTGGCTGAAAATGTAAAAATTACCAGTGAGGATTTCTTGAAATGCATTAAGGATAAACAAAATGTTAGGATGGGGATAGGACCCTTTAGGGATGATATATGAAAGCTTGTGTCTGATGATTATGAGATGGCTGGGTTATTAAGTTCTGCTTTTTCTTCAGTTTTTATTAATGAAGGTTTAAGCAGTATTTCTCATCTTGAACAGCTGATAGATGAATACAAGATGACTGCATTAATTCTGAGCTTGTTAAGAAAAAATTGGGAAGTTTACAGAACGATAAGGTTCCTGAGCCAGATGATTTTTCTCCAAGGGTTTTGAAGGAGGTTAAGGATTGAATATGTCAGCCACTTGCTACTGTTTTTTGTAAGTTCTTAAATGGTGGACAGGTACCAGAGGATTGGAAGTTAGCTAATGTCACTCCTCTTTTCAAGGGAGGAGATTAAAATTATCCCAGTAATTATAGACCCATTAGCCTTACATCAGTTGCGGGAAAAGTTTTAGGAAGTCCAATAAAAGATGCTTTGCAAAGCCATTTAATCAAGTTTTGAATTTTATTGGATAGTCAACATGTTTTCACGAAGGGAAACGTTAGTGCTTATGTAGATGAGGGTAAGGGTGTAGATTTGGTGAATCTGGATTTTCAAAAAGTGTTTAACAAGGTGCCATATAAAAGGCTTGTAAAGACAAATATTTCTATAAATGTGGGGGATAAGTTACAAAATTGGATAGAAGAGTGGCTAGATGGAAGAAAGCAGTGGGATTTTATAAATGGAGTTCAGTCAAACTGGATTAATATTACAAGTGGGGTACCTCAGGGCTTAGTCTTAGGGCCTTTGCTCTTTTTTGATTTACATCAATGACATACTTGGAGGAACAGTCAATAAATTATTTAAATTTGCAGATGATATTAAGGTCTTGCTAACTATGAAGAGGATGCTACCGATTTCCAAAAGATCATTTAGTGAGTTGGGCAAATAAATGAAAGATGGGTTTTAATTATAATAAATGCAAGATAATGAATGTGGGTTATCATAATTTGAATCATAAGTTTAATTTGAATGGGAATAACCGTAACAGTACCATGAAAGAAAGGGATCTTGGTGTAATAGTCTCTTAGGCTACCCAAGCAGTATACTGTTGCTAGTGGTAGGGCAAATAGGATTTTAGGTTGTATCTACAGAAATATTGAATACAAGTCTAAAGAGGTTATAATTTCATTGTACAGGCCACTAGTTATGCCAAATTTGGAGTATTGTGTTCAGTCTTGGGCTTTTTAACTTAGGAAAGACATTGAATTGTTGAAAAAGGTTCAGAGGAGGGTTACTAGAATGGTGCCTGGGATAGAGAGGTTTT